CCGTTTGGTAACTCAAATTGCGGTTTGAATCTTCCAACAACGCTTTGAACCCATGATTCGGACTCATTTGGGCTCGGATTGGATTGATCTTGGTGTCGTTGGGTTTGTATTTCCGAGACGCTCGGTTTGACTGTAAGATTGCTGAAATCGGAGTTCATATGCTCCCGGAATTAATTTTTGAAGTGTCCGCATTGATTTTGCCTCGAGATTCGTGCCCAACCAAGATTATTTTGTGATGACGTATCAAGTATGACTATCTCAATGATTTATTTTGACCTAATCCAATCATGCATAATATGTTGTTGAATTGTATAGTATGATGTAACTTTATCAACATAGATCATCTTTGTGGCTGATCAAAGCAGTTCAAAATGCTAAAAGACCAATTGTATAAAGAGTGGTTTGTATAGTGCAATTTTATTTTTTGTACTTATAAACTGCTTTAAGAAGCTGAAAGAAAGTCGTCCCAAATAAAATCTAAGTATTTCATATTGTTAATTTGCTCGTACAACGTTATTGACATTGGCCACACAGGTATCTGACGAGCTAGAAGTCTGTAAAATGGCTTAAAGCTATCTTTTGACAGTGCATGCTGCCAACTCTCTGTGATTCTCATAGCTTACAATAAGATTTGGTTATTTTAATCATTTCATATTTATGGGGCCTCTAAACCTAATTACATGTTATGATTATCATTTAATTAAGAAAATAAATTTCCTTATGTAATTAATTAGTCAAAGAGGTAGGACTGGCCTTTGAAGTGGAGGACAATAGCTAGTGGGATTTGTTTTGGGACAGATCTCATTTGAGTGAACAATTATTACGTCCTCTGACCTGACGTAGAGGTACGTTCGGCCGCCAATAACATATCGCCACGTGTTCTTACTCTTTACCGCGCGGCCCGACGACTTGACCCGGAGCGGAACCCAGGACGAACCAAATAATTGTTCCATTTGAGTAGGTTTGTTATAATCAAGTGACCACAGATTTCCTTCTCTTAATATTTATGTCATCATTGCTATATTTGGGGCTAGCTTACAAGTATTACAAAAGCTGTAAAAATAGAAAGAAAGTTAAGGTTTTGTTTGAGATGACATTTTTATTGCTTCTTAAAGTAAATTTTTGGTATAAAAATTTTAACTTTCGTACTAAAAATCTGCTTTAATAAGCAGTAAGAAAGCCATCTCAACCGAAGCCTAAGCCATAATTTAAAAGGGATAAATTTAAAAAGTCTTTTGATAATTCATATACGATCAATTTAATTCCAAAGTATCTTGTTACTATGATCTGGTCCTTCAGTTATACAAAATTGATCCAAAATAGTTCATTTGGAACAAAATCGAGATTAATTTTATATAGTCAAGAGACTAAATTGGAATCAAATTTATATCACAATTATAACATAAAAAACTCTTTGGATTGCTTTTGTGTAGTTCAGATACAAAATTGTAGTAACGTGATGCTCTATGATTAAATTAATTTGATCTATTTTGAATTGCTTTTATACGACATGCGTATAATTTGTTTCTTTGGGGCAACATTTTATGAACCTATTGATATATATTATTTATAGAAATCTATGGATATAGTGTTTATTTGTAATGTATATGCATTTCTTTTTTAATATTAAACCCAATCTACAATAATGTTGTGAATTAGTAAAATTCTAAGTGGTTTATGTTAGATTCAATTAATATATACTTTGAGTCAGATTTGTGTCAACTATTTTGACCCATATGATAAAATGGTCGGATTCAGATCATGCTTAATCAAATTAGATTTATTTTGGTCTTATCATAATACAACCCATCAACTCAAATTGGCATTTCTAATCAATATGAAGGTTAATTGAGCTTTCACACACAAGAAAAAAATGGCAAATTGAATTATAAAAATAATTGCAACTGAGTTTAGCCGAGCTCGACTCATTAACAAGCTCATGAGTTGAGCTTATCGAGTTTCAAGCTCGAGCTCAAGCATGATTTCGAGCTCGTTGGATTATCGAGCTTTAGTTCGATTCTCAAAATGCTTGACTCGATTACTTGTCGAGCAACTTAAGTGCAGAATCAGGCGGAACTATGCAATCCGAGATGGCGACGAGGGCTCGGACGGCGGAATGATGGGGAAGGCTTGCTCGAGCACATACTTGGATGACAAAATCATGGGGTGGGTTCAGACACGAAAGGCGGAGTCGCGGGGTGGGTCACGGTCGAAAAATCTGAGCTCGAACCATGGAATCGAGCATCTCCATGAGCCGTTTTCAGTGGTATGAGCCGAGCTCGAGCTCGCCTTTTGAGCTAGAGTTTGGTCTGACTCCAGGTTGACTTGACTCAGTTTGCACTCTTGATATTTGCATGAAAAGGATTGGGCAAATAGTTTCTATATTCCTTTGAGTCATTTTCTCATGACAAGACTCTCTCTCTCTCACACACTCTCTCTCACTCAATTACAAATACATATAGGTGTGACCTTAAATATTAAGAAGAAAGAAGACATAGATCTCCTTATCTTTGACATTGAAGTTGAATAAAATTTCGTTTATAATAATTTTTTTTTATTATTTTCTAAATCAAATTTTTAGTATACAAATCTTTTGAACTAAAAAATTTTATACTAAAAATTAATTTAAAAAATAATAAGAAATTCGTCCCAAACAAAACATAAAAATTGTGCCTGATTTTCAAGTCATGAATACAAAAGAAAAAAAGAAAAATTTCCTGCAGCACTTCCCACTGATGTAACCTTTTAATATAGAATATATTAGGAGGAAGACGTTGTTATCTTTTGCATTGGAGTTTATTGAGAAGCATACCTAATTTTGTCCATATCATTATAAAAGGAAGAGGAGATAATCCTCTACATGATTCCAACCAATTTTTTTTTTATAAGGATTGTTGTAAATTTCAATGGTGATGATAATGATGTAACACCATCCTTCAATGTCTAGCAATTTAGGATTTTGTTTGAGATGATTTTTTTACCGCTTCTTAAAGCTGATTTCTATTACAAAAGATAAAATTTTTGTACTAAAAGTTGCTTTGAGCAGTAAGAAAGCCGTCTTAAATGAAGCATAGGTTTCCATCTTGGTCCGATTTCTAGGCCGAGCTTCTTTCAACAAGACATGGTTTGAAACAAGAGACGGGCATATGAAAGAATCAATGTAATAAAATTTATAGTTAAATTGCCAGATAAAAGAAGTTTGATGGTGTTAAAACCGCTTGAGGTTTAAGTTTTTGTATTGAAAATATATTTGATCATTAGTATACATTCGACATAATTTCGAGCCCGTTTGATTCACTTTCTAATAAGTTGTATTCGAGCTAATGATTTTGATGGAATTGATAGGCTCATTCGATTTACGAAGTCCATAGATCTTTTTTGAAAGCCTTTGTCATCCATATTAATGATTGATTATGATCAAGAAAGCAGACCCAGATTTTGATAAAGATGATTGTAAAATTATTATGGGAAAATTTTATTTTTTGAAAGCTGCTATGAAAAGCAGCTCCCAGCATAGAAATATCTTGAAAGTTGTAGTTAAATAGAATTATTTTTTTCAATTTGAAATGCAAAGTAATAAGAAAGTCGTCCAAATAAAATCTAAATAATTGAAGGGCTTTATGATAGATTGTTTCGGTTCAAATGAAAGAACTAAAATACTTAAATTAAAACTATACTGAAGATCAAGATCAATGTTTTACGAAGTAATGCAGAAAATAGAAAGAAAATATGAATCATATTATTTGATTTCGATCTAAGTTTATCTCTATAGGAGAATTTGAAACTCATTATTCGGTGCAGTTATCAGATGCCGTCCGGAGGCCAATCAGAATGTGCGCCACTTCAGCAATTCACTGTGTGGTGTTATTGTGTACCACTGTGTATCGGGTGATGTAACAAGTCTTGATTGACCCCCGGACGGTCCGGTGACCGCCCGCAATAATTTCTCCTATTTTAGAACAGTATGCGGTTCAGGCCTTATTAAAAAATTTCAAATATTCGTGTGACTTTGAGAACTTACAATTATGAGTCGTATATATTCTGTAGTTGTAAGGGCATTTACATCCAAAATAAACTTTAAGATATATTTATCTCAATACATTCGTAGCAGTGGAAGCTCAATCCCGACGATGGAGAGGGATGACAGTCTAAACTCATTTACTAACATCACTATTTTTTTGTGATGGGAGTGAAGATTATGTTATGTTATTTTATGTAAATAATAAATTTATGTATTAAATATATAAATGATAATTTTTTGAGTTCTTCTAAATTAGGGGTGTCAAAATGAATCCGCGGGTCGGCCGGGTTCGACCCGGATTTAAATGGGTTGACCTAACCCTACCTGTTTTTACAAACGGGTTAGGAAATACAACATGGGCCCGACCTGTGCGAGTTATCGGGTTGATCTGATCAGACACACTAACATGAAACGGGCGTAGGAGACAACGATTTATCCTTACTAAAGTTCGGTCGTAGATATGATGGCTATTGCAGGAGGTGGCGTGATTGACGATATAAGATTAGGGGCAGCGTGATTGACGATATAAGATTAGGGGCAGCGTGATTGGAGTCGGTGTATCTGATGGCTCATGTAGAAGGTGACGTCTTGAGGTGGGTTGGGCTGGTTGGAGCTATAGGAGGTGTAAGCGACTGCGAACAGACGACAACGTGACTGGAGGCTGAAGGTCCATATGTCTGGAGAGGTGAGACTTGCTGCTTGCGGGAGTTGTGAGATGGAAGGGTAGGGTTTTCCAGACAAGTCAAACTGGGTACTTTCAGTTTTTTTGGGTCAACCTGAGCCCGACTTGATTTTTGAAACGGGTCAACTTGCCGAACTCGAATCCGACCCGTATTTAAATGGATTAACCCAAACCTGAAATATTCGTGGTCAGGTCTAAGTCAGATTTTGGGACATGACAAATATTAACACCCCTATTCTAAATCCAATAAATGTTTAATATGCAATGTATAAATTATTTAAAAAAAAAATCCATTTTCAATAGAATTTCAACGGTTCAAAGGAGGAAGGGGGCTGACTTGAGATACTGCCGGACAATAATGGCTGCCCAAACAGTAGCGGCCTCCGTCACCGAGGCTGCGACGTCGGCCACAGCAAAACCAGCTCCCTTTCTTCTCCACCGCCTAATTGATCTCGACATAGCCTTTTCCCTCTGGGTTCACTCAGCCTGCCTACCCATACCCCGTTGGCTCCTCAAAGCCCTAGAGATCTCCGGCGATGGCCGTTTCTGGTTCCCAATCCCGATCTCCCTCTTCTCCTTTTCTTCCCGCTCTCCTATCCTTCTCGCCCTCATCCTCGGTTCCCTCCTCGATCTTCTCCTTGTCGGACTCATCAAGCACCTTGTTCGCCGTCCTCGCCCCGTCTACAACAAGGGTATGAATCTCACCTTCGCCGTTGACCACTGGTCGTTCCCTAGCGGTCACTCATCTAGGGTCTTCTTCATTTCCGCCTTTCTCATTATGTGCGCTGATCGCTTCCGAGCTGACCTCGACTCCCACCATTTGGTCCACGGCTACTTTGGAGGTGAACCCACGGACCTTTTTCTCATGTTTGCTTGCGTTTGGTCGGCTGCTACCTCGGTTTCCCGCGTGTTGCTTGGCAGACATTTTGTGCTTGATGTGATTGCCGGGGCATGCCTGGGCGTTTTTGAAGCTCTGCTCGTCTTCCATTTGATGAAAATTTAGAGGAAAAAGGAAAACTTTTTTGATAAGTGTGTGCAGTTCTTTTATTTCTTTTATAGCAAGCTGAAATCACGATAGTTCTTATTGGAGTCTGCTATTTTCTTGTGCAAATTCATTATTCTGGTCATGATTTCTTTAACAATTTTGTTCGTGAAAGAGCTAAATGTTTGTTATTTTGGAAAGTAAAAGTAACTATTTTGACATGTATTTAATGCCAAGTACTATATATATATATATATATATACTACTTAATTGTTCAGTTAAGGCATACCTTTGGTTCCCTTCCACTAAGCAATTTTCCAATATGTGTACTCCATGTGCTTGGTAGCCTTTGGTTAAGGTGTTTCTGTTTGTATTTTAGCATGAGGGATGCCTATGATATGATTTACTAGATGATATGGCTAAGAGGAAGATTGGTGGTCCAGGATGGTGTCTTGATCTGATATGAAATGCTACTATGAACCTAAAGATTACATAGCATACACATCAAAGAAAGGAAATATGAAGGTAAATTTCTAGGGGTTTTTTTTTTTTTTTTTAAGATGTTTTTTTTTTGTTAAGATGTAATCTAGAGATATATTGTGCATGTGTTATGAAAACAGCTATAAGATAACCTATAACAATCTACTATAGATGCAAATGGAAACAATTAGGAATTAAGAAAATGAACGTTTGAAGAAATCTTAATCAAAGAAGTGCAGGAATTGACATATTTGAATCTTCTATTCCTTTTAGATAATAGAAATTGTTTCTTAATGAAGATTATTGTTTGTGGAGGAATTGACAATTAATAATCACCTGTCCCAAACTGAAATAAAATCAAGCAAAGGCAAAAGATAATATAGAAGATAGAAAAGTTGATGAGTTGGGATAGATAAAAAATATAAGAGAAGAACGAGTCGAGATTTCACCTATTTGTTTGAAGTTTACATTTGGCACAAGAACTTCACATCAATGGCAAAGTGATCTTGCATTGAGACAAAAGTTGATGACAAGTTCACAAATCAAGGCTCTGTATCATGATTTTGGCCATTTATCATGCACAACTCTCCCCTCATGGATGGTTCATAATTCTTTTAAAATCATGAGAGAATAATTAAAAAGGCGTAGTTTAAGATCTCTTGATGGATACATTGGTCATATTAGTCAAGGAGATAAGTGTTTTCATAAAATGCTTGATTTTTGGATCATTCTCCTTGTTTTGTTTGGCTAATCCAAAATTTCATGTATTTGAAAGCTTTAGCTTTTATTTTATTTTGCTTATGTTTTTTCTTTGTATTAAAACAAGTCATTAATCTATTTAATAATATTTTATTGGCTCCTAATGCTTTTCGAAGTTGTCTACGTTTGCGAAAAATATAATTAGAATCTTGTTTTATACTTTTTGATTCATTGATTAAAATTTATTTTTGCTTGTGCAAATTTTGTTTGGAAAAGCTTGGAGGTTGCTCCTCTATTCAGTGAAATTTTGTGGCTGATTTCCTAGGCTTTAATGAATCCTCAATCATTTTTTCTCCTCCTTATTCTTTCTTATTTCCAAATATAATTTTTATCTCCTCCACTTAGATTCAAGTCTAGATTCCTTCAACCTTAAAACATATCATACCTCTTCAAAACTCTCCGAAATATTCCTCCACATGCCTCAAAACTTTCCAATGCCTCAACTATCTATTAACACTAAGATACTATGCCAAAATCTTAATATAGAGAGATAGCTTTCTGTCGTGAGCTATTAGATTAATTATCATAACTCTCTACTATTAATCTAAAATTCATAAGAACATTGCAATTAGTTTACTAGCATTTCAAATCTTTGATATGGAGTTCCTCTCAAATTTTCTCCAATGGAAACTTGGCTTTTCATAACCTAAAAGTTTTTGCAGCAAAAATTGTCTAAATTCAGAATATCTATTTCACCACCTTTCAAATAACTCTTCTATCATCATCCTAAGGGCACATCAATTAAGTTGTTGCTTTCATTATAAAGTTCCCATAGACCTTACATCATACTGGTATTCGAGCCAAGGGCTTTAAAGAAGCAAGGTCAAGGAACTTGAATGCACACATTGTTCTCGATAAAAATAGCAACATTTTGGGACAAGATTTAATTTTTGAAGATCGAAAGAATTTGTGTTATTTTGCTATCCAGATTTATTTCTTCTTCAAAAAAAGTTATTATTGCTGTTCAAAGTATTAAATTTTCTTATTTGATAGTTCATTAAAAAAATTAATAATTACATCCTATTTAATAACTCTTTATAAATTTACTTTTATCTAAGTTATTACATCTACCAAAAAGACCTAATCTTTGTGTGAATCTGTCATAACCTAATTTTTTTTGAGATTTCTTAAATAGAAAAAGTGTGTTCGATAAACACAAGCCTTATCTTGATTAAAATTAAAACAAAGTATCTAAAAGTTATATTACTGTTATTATCATTTAAACTTTATATGCTTCGTGTAGTCATTAATCTTTAAAAAAATTGATTGCTTTACAAAATTCATAAAACAAGTATCACGTAGCCTTAAAATTGATAGTGAATGAAATATTGAGAGGTGTTTTTTCGTATGTAATTGAAGTTGTTGACTTGGTGACTTCTTTCTGTGAATTTCATTATTGACAATTTCACTATTTATCATGTATTTACTATTCAATCCAATGTCATCCGTCTTCTCTCCCACCATGCTAAGGAAACCCTAATTACTACCTCTTGATTTTCCCCTTCAAAGACCACAGTTTATTATACAAGTGCCCAATATCCACTCTTAAATTGACCCACTAAAACCCCCTCACCCTCATAGCCTCATTCGTCAATCTCACTACTCACCTATCATATTTAGCTCTAAACCCTTCTCCCACACTTGATCTCGCTTCTAAAGTCCCGTAACAAACCTTTTTCAACTTCACAACTGACTAACAAAATCCCTAAATCCTCCATTTCTCGTCACAATTACCTACCATCATTAAACTTTGCTTCTAGCCACCCCAAGAAACCACAATTCTCCCCACATTTCTAAAAGCTACAAACTGTCATTTGCCTGTGAAAGATCCTTCCTTTAACTCTACATCACCTCCAACTAGTGACCGCATAACTTTCAAGGCAAAAAAAAAAAAAAAAAACTAGATGGCCACATAAAAGCCTAACCGTACCTTGCATATAATCTACGGTACCTGTATGTTTTTTTCTTGTAGCAAAATTTAATAACCAGTAAATAATTTGAGTACAACAAGAACCAATTATGAAGAATTGCTAGGGCAAAGTAAAATAGTAAAAAATAAAGTTATTAATAGCATGAGGTAAGGATGCAAAATTCTTTTATTTGAAAGGGAAAAAACAAAAATGCTCATTAGCAATGCCTTGCTTGAAGTTTGACTATAAATCACGAATAGTTTCAAATGACTTCTATGTTTGTATTGGCATGTGTCGGTCACGGACATGCTCTGAAGCGCCTTAACATATGTCTGACATGCCAACAATTATTTTGGAATATTTTTTACTATGAAATTGAACTTCAACACTTATCAGACATGGTGGAACACAAATATGACATATTGATGACACGGGTTTGGCACTTGAGTGCACAGTTTGGTACTCAAGTCCATATTTCTTAGGGGAGTTGCCCTAATTATTTATAGCATCACCCTCTTCATATTTCGTGTAACTTGCATCTACATAGCATAGTCGAACGAGTTCTCTCTTATTGACCCCTCACATCTCCACCTCCGCGTAAGTCAAAGACTTCGTTTATTGCTCTTCGATCTCACACATACTCCTTCATCGAAGCTAGATACTTCATTTCCCCCACTTTGATCTTCCGCTCCTCCATGTGTCGAGGCCGAAGATGAAGAAATCTCATGTCTTCGTTGAAGTTAAAGCACCTTAACCTAAGGTTAGTAGAAGGGTAAGGCTCTCTACCACACCCTATTCAAATGAGATTTGAATAGTTTAATTTATAACTATTATTTAGTTCCTGGCTTCTAGCTTTTCATTATTTTCTTAAAAGATTTTGTAGTTAAGCAAAGAATAGTACTTTTGTATAGATATTTTCTGTATTTACGCAAAATATGAGATAAAAATGGGTAGTAGTATGAGATAAAATGGGTCAGTAGTTTAATTTACTATTATTTTGCTCATTTCTTTTTTTCTTGGCAAACATGATTTGAATCTCATATCCACCAGAGCATCAATACTTTATAGACTCCCATCAAAATCAAAAGCTTGCATTGAAATATGATTATTGACTTTGTTAAAGTAGAATGAGGGGAAACCATATGAAGAGGCTCACGATAAATGTTCAAACTTTTTGGTTTTGAGGTGATCGTTCCCCTAGGAGTTAATAGGGGCATGCTTAGAAGGTTTTGATGCCATTGAATGGTTGAAAGTTGGTATCATATTTTGAGTGCATACTTAATTTGAAGGAGAAACAACAATTATCAGTTTAAATGGTTAAATTAGATCATTTGTGTGTTTCCCATAATTTTTTTTTTACTTATTTGGTTTCTTTAATTCCAGATGAGCCTTGAAACATTTAAAGTAGTTGTCTTTTAAATTCAACCTTCTACCATTAACTACTAGAAGAAGAACCAATCAATCCTTCATTTTCAAGAGGGATAGAAACATCCAATTCAAATATAATTGTAGCTATAGACAAATGTGTGAGATTATTCGTTGCAGCATTCACATGTAAAGCTTTTCCAAAAATAGAATCAAGAGAGTATAAGATGGATTGGTTGAAATAATATGAGTAAAGATGAGATGGTTCCTTAAATGAATGAAAATGAGGAGTACATTTTAGCATTTGCATCGAGTATCTTCTCTAACATAGTACTATCATTACGAAGAGAGTATGCTGTAATCAGCTTTTAATGAAATTCTTATAATGATATGATGATCTTCATTGAGCTTGAGTTGTCTAACATTAATTTATGAATGATCTCTAGAATGGGGTAGCCTAAAGAAAATTTATTCACAATAGAAATTGAGAGTGGACTAGCGAGCTTTGATCTCTCATCTTCGGTGAAAATAATTGTAGGCTTATTTTGAAAGTAAATGATTGCTTATGTTAAATCATAATTGAGTATTTTTGAAAGAATAACAAGAAATGGTTGGATGAGGGCTCTAGAAAACTAAAAGGCTTCAACCTCAATAACTTTAGTGAAGGA